CCGCCCCCCCGACATGGCCAGACGCCAGCCTTCCTCCACACAAGGCCCTCGGCCACCTCCAGCCCCCTCCGCTTCCCTGCCTTGCCGCCATCCGGCCCCGGGGCTGGCACGGTGCCCCTGCCCCACCATGCGGCTCCCCGGGCTCCCCCTCCGCGGCCTCTCACCTGGTGTCCTCCTTGAACCACTGAAACTCCGCCACGGGGACGGCTGAGGCCTCGCACTGCAGGATGCCCTTCTGGCCCACCGAGGCGCCCGTGTTCTTGGCATTTGAGATGTACGGCGGATCTGCGGAGACACAGTGCAGCGTCACGCCAGGCTCCACACGTGCCCACCCCGCCATGATTCCCCCAGCCCTTGCACTCACAGTTGACGGTGACTTTGACTTTCCGCACGTCCGGGACAGCCACGTCATTGACAGCGCTGCACTCATACTCCCCGGACTGCTCCCGTGTGATGCCCGTGATCTCCAGGTACTCGTCCTCGCTCACAAAGCCCTGTCCTGGGAGACGTCCCGAATGCGTGGCACCATCACCCTTCACCCAGGAAACTTGGAACATCACTTAACAAGCATCCTCACCCTCATACCAGAACACACCAAAGGGCCAGCACCTCCACCCTCCACAACAGATACCAGCAAACCATGGACAACCTTCCTGCCACCCCAGCCACCTCTACAGGGACAACTGTCCATCCCACATGGGCTGGGCAAGACCCCTGACCCGGGTGGCTCGTCCACCGAGTCCCAAGCATGGTCTCACCTTTCCCAGAGAGGTGCCGCGGCGTGACAGTGGGCTCTGGTCTCCCGAAGGCCAGGCACATGAGGGTCACGCTGCTGCCCTCATTCACGGTGATGTCTGATGAGATGTTGACAATCTGGGGGGGAACTGCAAGACACAAAGAAGAGCGGAGGCACCATCAATACATCAGCTCACCAGGCCCCAACAGCACACCGCCTGCATGCCACCAGGAAGCCCTGGCCGCGAGACCAGCCCCGGCGCCGGACATCAGCATCTGCCCCATCGCCCTGTTCGGTCATCAACCCCGTGCCTCCAAACCAGCATCTCCGACTGGAGCCGAGCACGGCCCCGGGGTCTGCTCGCCAGTCCCCTGCACCAGGCGGGGGCTGGAAACCCCGATAACTGGCTCTCATTACAGTCCGCGACAAGGCTTATATTTTAGCATATTTATTAAAGCTGTTTAAATTACTGAGCGTCTGCTCCATTCAATACCGGCCACAGTGATTTATATTACTCTATCCCCAGATACTCCATCTAATAAATAACTTGGCAATCTCCACACCCATAAATATCCCCGGCCCTGGCAAAAAGCAATTAAAGCCCACTCGCCAACATCGCTTCCCGGCGCTCCAAGCCCCTGGGCTGGCAGACGTGGCCCCTGAAAGGTTCTGCACCCTGGGGAGCGAATGAGCCCATACAAAACAACCCTCCCAAAACTAAACACCACTCCTACAATGCCAGAAAGGATGCCTCATGCCCCCGCCCGAGCACATAACATACTGAGAGCCCCAGTTCACATGGTGTCGCACGTGAAATGCCGAGGGCTCTCCTGCAGTGCTGGGATGCCAGTATGATCGCCTGAAAACCACTGCAGCCCTGCCTGGAAGGGGACGTGAGGGCTGCCGGGCTCCCCTCTCCTCCCCCTGCCCTGCTGGGGCTGCTGCGTCATTGTCCGGACTGGGTAAGGACAGACAGGTGCCCGGCGGCGTGCCAGAGGGGCCACGGCAACATCCCCTGAGGAGCTCGGTCTAAGCTGCCTATAACCACCAGGCTCTGCACCTCAACTGGGGTTCAAAAAAAACCCACCCCAAAACCTAGGCAGCCTCCTGGGTGACTCCTGGCGTGAAAGAGGCAGTGCGACGGGACGAGCTGTGGCAAAGACGCGGCGCGGTCTCCGCGGCCCGATAGGCCCTGCAAGGCAGTAAATTTCCCAGCAACTTGACACATTAATATAGAAGTACAGTCTGTTATAGCAAAGGGAGATTGTCTGAGTCCTTCAGGGGAAAGCGGCAATCTGAAAATGAAAAGTGTGCGCCGGCGACTGCTGGAAAATGTAGTTAACGCGTGGAGCGGAGCTGGCCAGCTCCAACGGCACCGCCCCGACAAGCTCTGCTGTGGGAGGGCTGCCGGCAGCCCTTCCTTGCTTAGACAAGGAGATGACCTTATTCCCTATTACCAGCAGCCTTGTACCTCTCCACCTCCAACAGCTACCAGAAAAAAATCTAAAAAAACCAACAGCATCCAAGACATTGTGCAGACATTATCTGCTTCTCACAGCCTTACTAGATATACGTGCTCCCGGTACAGACCAATGCTTGCAGGCAAGCACGCTGCCAGGGGAAGGCGGGCACCTCCAGGGCACCTAACACCAACTCCAAACACTCGGGGGCTGCTCGCTTGAGAGGCCCTGCACACTCGGGGCTCCTCTCCCTCCCTGTGGCACCTCACCGGGGCGAGGGCCCCAAAAGGGGCGCCTTGCAGAGCCGGGACTGCGCCGTCAACCCCGCGTGCCTGCCTTTGCCCTGGACCGGACTGGCAGCTCAGCTGCCGGGGGCTTCCCTGAGCGGGCGCTGGGGCATTCGGCTCTGCACGCCAACAAAGAGCTAAAACTAAATAAAAAGAGAACAACCTATGTCCAAGGAAGCCGAGGCAATCCGCATCTCCCTGCAGATATTTAATCTGCTGCACAGGAGGCAAAAGTAGCTCCACACACCTTTCCTTGCACAGTACCCGCTCCGCTTGTGTATTTCTTGCATCTTCCCATCCCACCTCCTGCATGCAGCCCTGCTGAGGTCAGACCATGGACAGAGCCACACGAATACACGCATCAACCCTAAAGCAAAGGATGCCGACGCAGCGGGCAGACATGCCAGCAGGTCACCCACAGGAGAACAGCACCTCTTGAACCCCCCCAGCCACGGCCCCGAAGCCGCAGGGGCCAGGGAAGCGCCGCTGCGCTGCCATGCTGTGCCACCGCCCACCCTAATGTGATCAGAAATGCCCCCGAGAGCCAGCAGGGACATGTGGTGGGGGCATGTGCGGCAGAGGGATTTCCGTGGAGAGCACAGGGACCCTGCCAGATGGCTCGATACCCTGCTGCGACGGCAATCATTGTCTATGAGGTTACCGGGACTTGGAGAAGAACATCTAAGGACCTTGATTACATTTCTATAGATCCCACCGACCGGGCTGTCGAGGACAGTGTCTCAAGGGCATGCCGGCTTCACCTTGTGGGGACTTACTTAATCCACAGAGGAGTGGGCAGGAGCTGGGCCCACGTGGGGACGTGGCCAGCAGCAGACGGGACCCGAGCGCCGGCAGGCAGGATGAGTCCGGTGGCAAACATGACCGTGTGGATAAAACCAACCGGCAACCATGGTAAATAACGTGAGGCGGGTATGGCCAAGGCACACGCACGGCTGCCCCTGACAAGCACGTCCCACCAGAGCTGCCATGTCTCAGGATGGGGACTGCTTGGGACTGGTGCTGGGCACAGAGTCCAAAGGCTCTCCCATCTCCCCACAGAGCCCTCCCAGCCCCCGAAGGGCCGGGTCAGATAGCCCTGCTAATACCTCGCGGCCCACCTGCATGACTATGGATGCTGTCATTTCCCTGTTGATGGCATCCTTTCCCTGGGTTACCTTTGGTTCTTAACGTTTACCTCCCCCTGCCCTACATCCCCTACACAGCAAATATCCAGTAGTTATGACAGCCTCTCCTCACTACACATACAAGATAAGAAATGATCGCCGCGTGAACATACTAACAGCCAGAGAAGCAGCGAGAGTGGGGCCGTCGTTCTGTCGGGGAGACGGAGCACCGTTGCCCGCTGTGCCTTTCACCATGTTAACGCTTCCTCATGTGCATAATATAAATTATAACAGCTTGCTCCCCCGAGCAGCTCCCGTTAGCCCACACGCACGTCACTACAGGCCTGATCATACAATAGCTAAGGAAGAAGACTGAGACACTCCTCAATTGCTCGAGGGCAATAAAGCCATAACAGGCAGAGGCCCCCACATGCAGTATGCCTGCTCAAATTAAGCAGCCCTCAGCTGCCATCGGGATGGGACATGGATTCCCAGGGTGCTGCCGGCATTGCACTGTGGACAGACACGGCCATCGCCCCCTCCAGAGGTCCTCCCCGGCCCCAAGACTGCTCACAGGATGGGGGACGAGATGCTCGCCTTCCGGAGCTGCGGGGGGCAAAGCGATACGGTGGTGCATGGTCCCTATCCCCCCTTATTCATAGTCCTGCCTTCCTTGTAAAAGACTACAACTACGAGCAAATTGAATATGGAATAAATCCCGAGGAAGCGAGGAGCGGTGTGTTGTCGTGCGGTCTTGCCGGAGCGGTGAGCGGCCTGTGGAGGATTTCATCGACCCTACATAATATTAATCACGGGTAAGTTAATGCATAATGTTTGGTAGGCCAAAAAAATACATTTGCACTGTAATTTCTTGTTTGTTCAGAAAGCTGGTGAGAGAAATCCAATGTGAAAGCGATGCCACTAAATTCAATAACAATAAGCCCATGATTTATCTCCTTCCTTTACCGCTTGAGACCCAAACTGCCCGATGCGCAGATTCACGCTTTCCGTCGGGCCCAGGCGCATGCCGGTTTCTGCCACTGCTCGCGGGGACCATGAGGCACCGTGCCTCCCCTCCCTCCCAAACTGGGGGCTGCAAATAGCCCTATGGGGTTGGCCATGGCATCATGCCTTGTTGACGCTGCCCTGTCCTGTGATGCCACGTGCTGTACTTTGGATATCCCTCGCAAGCACAGCCAAGCAATCCCTGGGACTCTCCCACACACCTCCTCTGGGCACCGGTGCCGGCCTCACCCACGCTGCTGCTCTGCAGCCAGCCAGCCAGGCTGGGGACAAAAGACACTGGAGAGCTCAGATAGTGCGAGCCGCTACCAGACACCCAAGTGTGAGGAGGGATGGACGCTGCATCGCCCGGGGAGGCACGGGTCCTGCCCGTGCCGGCAAGGACGCCTCTTCCCTGCTAAACAGTGCGGGAAGAGACAGCACTGTGTGATCATTGACTACACGTGATGCTGACACACACGACCGCGTGCAGGCTGACTCATCTCCCGGCTGCTCCTTAGCGCCGATCCCTACCGGAGGCGCTCGCCGTCGCGGCCCCAGACTATTTTTAGCTGCCAGATCATTACTGCTGCACGCCTTGGAGCGGAGAGCCTGTGCGAGCACCATGGCTGACACAGGCAACTGATGTCCCTCCTCCACATCGTTAGCTCCTAATCCATTATAAGAGACCTCTTCCTACACCTTTGATAAAGTGAGATGATAGATGGATACCTATGGGCTCTTCAAACCGCTGGACGACAGCCACTTGCCCACCTCTACTTGCGGGATGGGTCCCTGTAGGGACGGCCGCAGAGGGGGACATCTCATCTTCAGCATTCTGTGGGGAGACGATAGCCTCCACGGGCACTGTCCCACCTATGGTGGCACCTCACCACCTCCTCTCAGACACCTCCTATTTTGGGGAGATGCAGCGTTCACGCTGCCCCTTCACCTCTCCAGCTGCAGCAGGGGCCCGTGCCCTCCCGGGAGCGGGACCGCCGCCCTAGCAGGGGTCAGACACCTGCCGGAGCTCGCGCTGCCTCCCTCCCCGGCACCCCCAGCTGCCTATAGCCCCACACGCTGCCGGCTCTGCATGAGCCATAGGCAGGATGGAGCTGTCAGAGGTGTCACCGCACAAGGACTCATTAGCGTACGGAAAGTCAGCACAAAGAAGGCAAATATGCTGAGAGCTCACATTTTGCCTGTGCTTTCCATCTCCTTCGCAGATGACAAGCGCGGCAGGACGGCACCAGCGGCTTCTGGTCTGTCCCTGCA